TCCTTTTAGGTTGGAAGGAGATGGGTTTCCCTGGAAACCGTGGATGGAACCACGTAAACCAGGGATCGCCCTCGATTTTTCAACTGTCCTTTTTGGAAAATAGATGGATTTTGTCTGGTATGATTAAACCAGGCAAACCAGGAGCCATCGATTTGTTGGACCAGAACCAAAAAGGACACCTATGCCCCATGCCGTTTGAGGTCGTGGTTCTCTTAAAGTTCTTGGGCCGACTGGACCTAAGCCTGGGACTAGGGCTGAACTCCTTTTTGTCTCCATTCCGAGTGGGGCTTTTGGGGTGCTGGAAACTGTTCTTCTGGCCCGAAGGAGTGGTCAGCTTGATGGTTGGCCCAAGAGGTCAACCCTCCCCAACATCACAACAGTCAACTTCCATTTGCTTAAGCCCGGAAGAAAAAATGAAAAATGTCCAGCAGTGATACTTTCCCTTTAAAACCAACAAGGGGAAAAAAAACAATCTTAAGCAAAGGGAATCAATACCGTGGGTGGATACCAACTCCGCGTCCATCGTTGCACCAGTCGGGATCGGTTTATCCCATCGGGATTCATCCAGCCTAACTGCAGGACATCGTCTTCTTGAAACCAGCCAAACGTGTGTTCAAAAGCCTGATACCCATGGGCCATTTGAGGGCCAACCATCCCCAACATCACAACAGTCAATACTGTGGGTGGATTCACTTTCTCCAGATCGGTTCCTTGCCCCAGAAAAATGGCACCCCGTTCCACCAGAGCGGTCAATTCGTTCGGCTCGCCTGGAAGCAATCGGACCTTCGCAAGTTCTGCAAGCCCAAGCGCCGCTGCCGCGCCACCTGAGACGCCGCGCTTAGCGCAAGACCTTTCTGACCAACAGTTCCCCATCCTAATTCCAGGAATCGGGCCTGGAGTGCAATCCCAACAAAACTATTCGCTTTGTTTTCCTCGTTTTCCTTTTTTGGGACAGGGGTAGACACCTGAACCTTGCCCTGGCTTCGCCATGACGTGAGTCCCTGAGTCGAGCGATGGTCCAAACTGAACGATCTTGCCAAGTGCTGAAAGTCCGAAACGGAACTCAAGAAGTGGGTCACGGATTGGATTTGACAAATCTCGTCAAGCCCTCTGGAAGGTCCCATATGGACAGTCGTCACCCTCCATAAGCCCCAGAAACTCTGGTGTCGCCATTTGCTCGCTTAAAGATTTGCGGAGCCCTCCAGGTGCATTGATTCCTTGTAGTGCTCCCCAAACGGGATGTCACTTGAGAGAGCCAAAACAAGGAAGGCCTACCCAACACCCCATGACTCATCGAAGCGGACATGTCCGCCTATCGGATGAGTCCGTTCAGCCCATGTCCCTGGGAATCAGAAGACCGGAACCAGCTTATTGACCCAGTGGCTACTCGGTATTGGGGCTGTATATATCAAAGCCCAATCAATGGCTTTTGTTTCATGTAAATCCCTGCTCTTAGGCTCTAAGCAGATCAGTTGGCAATAAATCACACCACTGATCATCCAAGTTGGTCAAACGACACAGGCTTCTTTATAATAGGCTCTAGATCCACCACTTGGACACCTTTGATTCCGCGCTCCAAGTCAGACCGCTCTCTGACTCTCCGGCCCGCTCTCCGGAGCGCTTGAGGGTGGCACCGTCTCCAGCGTCACGGCAGCTGTGGTGGTGGTGCTGGTGGCACCTTCCGGTCCTGGCAAAGTGTGCTTCTTTGAGGCAAAGGGTCATTTTCAGTTGGCCTATATAGGTTGAATCAGAGCAAGGTCCCCACAAAAACAAAGCTCATGAATGGTTCAAAAGGAGCTCATCCACATTGTTGACGCCCACTAAGACCAACAAAGCTCGCGATTCGGATGGGTTCGTTGGGAATCCAACGCTTCAAAGGCTGAAACTCACCGATCTGAATCTCCGCTTGGAGGTCTTTGGTTCTTGTCAATGGGCTTTCCAATCCAATGAGACTGATTTAATTGGTTTAGATAAAGCCCACCAGCACCAACTGCCATTTCCAAAATCTCCCTGGTACTGCAATCAAAAAGCAGTCGTTGCAGGGTGCTCGCACGTTAAAAAAACAAAAAAACAATGGAAAAAAGCAGCTCTCTCAGCCCAGGGCGTTCGGAGGCAGCTTCGGCCAGAGCGCTTGCCGCGCACTCGCTGGGCGTTTCCGCCAAGGCAGGGGTGCCGGCCCGGAAGGTCAGCACGTAGAGTCCTACGCGCTTGAGCGTGGGCGTCGCTTAGGTGGGCGTCGCTGGTTTTTCTTATTGTGTGTCCCCTTGTTGGGTAGTTTGAAAGGAAAAGTATGGGAAAACCCGTCATTGTTCATTACCACTAGAGTAGGTAACCAGCAAAGGCCACCATGCAAAACATGGTAGGTACGAATCCCTGGTTGGACCTTATTTTTCACTTACCGAGAGATACGGTTGACCCAAAAGCCGAGAGATACATAGAGGTCCTGCATCATAAATGGGACCCTCCCCCCCTCAAAATCAACCAGGGAATGATTTATCCTGGGTTTGCATTGCACCTACGGGATGCTGCAAAACTAAACTAGACCTTCATGGAATATTCTCTTCGACCTCCAAAGTGGTTTAAAGGAAACCACCGGACATACTTCCGAGAGCCCCTCCAGAATGATCCCTGGATCAAGTGGCCGTCGGGGAATGTCCTTGCGACTGAAAACAAGCCAACCATACACAGCAACAGCACGGCAAACTAGTTTAACTTAGAGGGCTTCTCTTACCTGCTGTACTGCGGATGGACAAAATCCTGCAGAAGTTGGGCTAGATCAAATACTGAGAATACTGGGACCAAGCAGCTAAGCAGCTATCCGTTGCCGATCGAAAAGCATGTGGATTTCGAGTAAGCATCCGCATTTAGATCATCCACCAAACAAGCGGTGAGCAGAAGCACTTGGTTAACAAACCAAGGCTCCTCCCGCCCAAGGGTTGTGATCGAGTGCTGAGAATGGTGGGCAGGGCTGGATGGAAACCTCGTTTGGGAACTTTTTTGGACCAAAAAACCTGCTCATGTGCGATCCCTCCCATACCCCAAACCAGCCAGCTACGGGGACCCCCAAAATGGGTTTCGGTTTTCCCTGTTGGCTTCCCTTAAAACCAATCTCTCTGAAACATGTACCAAGAAAGACTAAAAACAACATAAAGTTTTTGGCCGTATCGAGGCTAGGGATGCCAAGGCCATAGGTGCTCGAATCCCGCGGCCGTTTTGAGTAGAAGCCCATGTATTCTCAAAGGAAGGGCACCTTGATTTCAGCTTCTTGGTGCCCCTTTCAAACCAACCAAGGGGGTTAGCCCCCCGAGTGGTTGATGAGCTCCACAAATCACTTCAGGGACTTTCTGATGGGGGTTCCTGACCAGGACCATTTCCCATGGGGTGGCCATCCAAATGCAGAGTTTCCGAGACAGCTGTGGCAGAGTTATCAACCATTGACCATTGGGGGATGCTCATCCAAGTACAATGCAAATGAACAAAAGTGGAGCTGGTATCCCTTGCTAAATTGGCCCCCCAAACCTCTACCCCGATAGAAAATAGGGTATACAACTGCATGCAGATATACAAAGGTATGGCTGTGGGTCAAAAACAGGGAAATCCCGAAATGGAACCACAAGAGGTAAACGGAAGCAAGGACGGCCCCCTGGTGGTTTAAGCTTACCCCATGTCCATTATTGGCCTTTAAGGGGGACAGTGCAATCCATCAATATCCCTGCGCCCTTGCAGCTCCAGCTTTTCCTCACATCGCAGTCTCCGCTCGCCGCGGGTGGAAACTAAAGGGAAAGCATAGTCGTGCGAAGCGAAGTCCTCCTCTTGTGTCACAGGGATTCGACGCGATGAGCACTTGGCTTCGTCTCAAAAAATCGGAACCCCAACATGGCTTTTGTCTTCCCGTGAAACACCCCAACAGGGGGTTCCTCCAAAATAGAGGGAAGCACTCCCAAATGGCTGGAAAGTGTGGAGGAAAACCCACAGACAGCTTAAAGCCAGGGTCAATATGCCAGGGTCAATATTCAGCAGTCCCAATTCCCATGAACCGCACGCTCTTCACTTGGATGTTCGATTCGCCAAGTTGGATCTTCGTGGTGAGCCACTTGGGTTACAACCCAAGGATAGGAGGACTTCGTTGGCATAGCCCAAGTGTCTAGCAACTTCCTAACTTGGCAAAGACCCAAGATGAGATCCCAGTCTTGGCAGCCCATTCCGACTCAAGGACTTCAGCCGCGGGTGCCAGCTAAGGCCCGGCTCAAGCATGGGCGTGTGACATTCCGTGGAACCCCGTTTCCGGTGAAGGCCTGCCCAAAGGGTCCACTCAACGTATCTTCGTACTTTGGCACATGTATGCGCTTTTCTTCCCAAGAAACCTGGTATTGATGGAACCGGCCTTCTTAAAACATGCAGCAACTATTGTTTAACCCACCTCCTTTTGGGTGTTCCTTCAGTGGGAACCGGGGTCTGGTGGTTTGAACATATTCTTCCATGAGTCTTGTTCTTTGCAGCTACTTCAATAAGGAAAACACGGGACATCTAAAATTAGTAGGGATCCAGGGTCAATGCACCCCCTTTTTTGATGTTGATCTTAATGGGTGCGCCCTATTTGAGAGAACTACCGGATCACTTGTGTGGGGAGGAAGCTAGTAGACCAGGCATATTTGACATACATGTGACATGTGCGAGTATCATCTATTGCAATTTCAATCAATGACATTTGTTGAGATTCTGACAGTATGCGTTTCGTGTTATCGGTGTATGTTAGTTGGTAGGTTGTCGGTATGTCCCAGAGTGCAAATCGGGTGTCATCCATCCCGACTGGTGCCCATTGGCGTGGATTTGCAACCATCCGCAAAAACTGACAGTTCCTCACATGTACAACCTACATGGGCATGGGACCCCAAAATGGTGGTCGTGCTTATGGTGTGCCTTGAAACCAACCTGTAAAAAAACGTATCAAACTAAATGAGCAGTAGGCAATCGCGGGCGTCACTAGCCGCATCTATCTCTCAAATTGCAGATGCCTCCGCCTCACTCGCCTCCGTCGAAACAAGCGAGAGGAACCCGACACCCGCCGCCGAACTGACCCCACCCCCTGCCCAAAGGGCATAGGTGGCCTGTTGGAAAAATCGATGGGCCTGGTAATGGAATAAAACCAATCTTAACCAGTGGACCCCATCTATTTGTAGCCAAACCTCAAAAGGTCACCTATGCCCAAGGGATAGACACTGATAGCTGTCAACAAGCCTTATTCAGGCCAAATTGGCAAGTAAGGCCAATAGAGGCTGAAGTGTTGGGGGAGGGTGGGGCCTTGGACGGGTCCCACGTCAGGTGAGTGGTTGACATCCATGGTGAACTGGCTGTCCTCAGATGCCCCGCTAAAAGTTTAACTTTTAGTGGGTTAAATGGAAATCCCCACAAATAAACAATAAAAGGCTAAAAGCTAAGGTGCTGGGAACCACCAAGTGAAGGCATCATTCTGTGGGTGGTAAATCCTGGAGATACCGCGGATGGACGAAATCCATTTCGCACCACCTAAGAAATCATGGTTGAGACAATTGTTTGTTGGTATTTGCAGGGGAATCATCATTCCAGGATTTCTTAGCGTTTAAGTGGGGATACCCTCCCTTCCACATTGCCATGGCACCTGGCAGGGGGTCCCTTAAAGAGGAATCTGATCTTGCAGGTACCCTCCCACAGATGCTATTCTTCGCGGCCCTCCGCGAGTTTGGCCTGCAGGCTTCTTAAGTGTTATCCCCTTCCTTTCAGCCCACAAGAAACAAATTGAGGTACCCTATGTGGGGGATCCCGATGCGAGGAAAATCGTTTCTCCAACACCCAACCGTCTGCGTCCATAGGGAAGGCATGTGCCACAATAGGGAACCCAACTGATTGGCTTGCTTTCGGTTCCCCTTTGAACTAACCTACAGGATTTTTGCAACAATATTTGTTAAAACAAACCACACCCCCAAGTGGTAAGTGGGGGAACCGACCCCTTTTTCTGACTTTGATACCCTCAACCTTCAGTTTAACCCTCTGTGATGGGAAAGGAGCAATCCAAAAACCGGCCACCCTCACAAGAAAACCACTGTCAAAGTCACTCCCTGGTAGCTTACAGGGCAAACACCCCCAAAATGCTCTGACCCAACCCACCCCCCCCAACCCACCCCACCCCAACCCACCCCAAAAAATAGCAAAACATATTTTGAAAGAAGTAAAATAATTTTCAGAACAACTTACCAAAATATAAAATATAGGTTTATAATTCAAATTTTAAATAAGGTTAATACATTATTCATATTCATTAACCTTATCTAATTCCTTGAAAATAATTTTACTTCATTGAAATATTATATAAGGTTAAGAAGTTATTCTACATATTAACCTTATACATTTTTATGTAAAATATTTATTAATAAAAATAATGTTAATTTTCTTCTGCCTGTTTCATTTCTAAATTTCTTTTATGCTTATTTGTTTTAAGATGTTGCTTTTTTAAACATTGAGAAAAATAGCAGTCACAAATAACACACTGAATTTTTATACTGTTCCATTTTCTATTACTTTCAAGTGATTTATTTCTATATTCATCATCTTCTTCATATCTTTTTCTTTGCTCCTCATTGTATCTATCTTTATGTTTAATTCGGTTATTCCTTTTGTTTTCTGAACATTGCCTGCATTGTTTATTATCTTTATTAAATTCGTCAAATAGTTTCATTCTACCACAGTTTCTACATAATTTTCCATTATCAGTTTTGAATGAACCGTTTTCCAAAATTCCTTCATACATTTTACCTTTAATTAAAACACAAATGTTTCCTTCCATAGTTCTTATAATACAATGTCCTTAAACCTTTAAATACATTTTAAGAAATTCCTATAATCAATATTCCTTGAAACTAAATTCCCAAAATCCCAAATCCCAAAATCCCCATAATTTCAAAACATAAATCTTACATTGTTTTTTATTGTAAGGTTTATGGGTTAAATTTAATCATAAATGAACATTTGTTCCTCCTTCCCAAGTTTCTGGGAGACCATTCCCCATTTTTGGGAGACCCTTCCCCATTTTTGGGAGACCCTTCCCAAGTTTTCATTTTTTTGGGAGACCCTTCCCCATTTTTGGGAGACCCTTCCCCATTTTTGGGAGACCCTTCCCAAGTTTTCATTTTTTGGGAGACCCTTCCCCATTTTTGGGAGACCCTTCCCCATTTTTGGGAGACCCTTCCCCATTTTTGGGAGACCATTGTCAAACCCCAACTTAAATTCCTTAGTCCGTCAAACTCGTCAAAATCTCACAAATCAATTCAGCAGGTATTTTGTATAAATCTTCCTGCTTATGTATTACATAATTATCCCCAGAACCACTGACTGAAAATAATTCTAATAAATTCATATTATTAGAATTATTTAGATATGTATTATATTAATTCGTATTTTCCTTCTTCGTTCTTAAACAGTTTATAAAATTCAATAGTTTCTGTTTTTGGAGATTTAATTTTGTTCTTATTTAACATATCCATATATTGCTTTTGCTTATCTTGAAAACTGCCAGACGGCCTTCCTATTTGTTTCTTTTCAAATATTTTATCAATCTTTTCCTTCTCTTCATTGCTATCTTTTGGTTCGTTTGCCTTTGCATCAAGTTTCTGGTCAATAGTTTTTATCATCTCGTGCAACAGTTTAAAATTTTTACTAACTGTCATCATCTTCTTTGATAGTTCAGCAATAGCATCATTCTCAATTTCAGACATTTCTATATATATTTATTTATATAATTATTTATTTAAATATTTATTTATAAAATTGATTTAATGTAAAATCTACTCTTTAAGTACTAAATTTTCATCATTTGTTTAATAGTTTCCTGAGTTTCGTTATCTCCATTATCTGACATTGTTGCCTCATTTCCAAATTTGATAGAAATATTATGTGCATCTGTTTCCAGATTGATACTGTCCTTGGTTTTATCAATATTCATTTTCTTATCATTTTTAGTTATTTTAAACCCTAATGGCACACAAGAACATTTGCAATTTCCTTTCTTTTGAATTTCTAATTCGTTCTTCATTGCTAACATCTTTCTACACATAGGACACTCAAACTCAGTTAGTGCTGTTTCTTTAACAATTTCTTCTTTTTCTTCATCTGTTGAAGAAACTGTAGTATCTGTTTTATTCTTTTTGTTTTTCTTTTTTCCCATTTATATTAATATTTACATGTTTATTTTTGATATATTGTATTCCTAATTTTATTAATTCTAATGTATAAAAGCATACTTTCTTACATCTGTTGTCAGTTATTATCACTTGTTCTATATTCTCTACTTCATCTATTATATCAATATAATCTGAATAACTTCTATCCATATTAAATAATAAGATGAAATAATTATTAAAAATAATTATTTGATCTTATTATTTTCATGCATAATAGAATATTGGTGGGGCACAGCACTTGGGGTTTTCATTGCACACGCGAGCAAGACACAAAACTAATTATCTTCAATGCTTATTGATTGAAGCAATGGAAAACCTGTTCCATTTTTTCATTGATATTTGCCGTCATCATATCATGAAAAAACGATGTTCCATTTAATATTAAATAGAATATGTGTTTAAACTATTTTCTTTAGTAAGTTTTACTGCAGTTGATATACTAACATCTAGAATATTATTATTAATAATTTCTTGTACACTATTTATCATGTCATTTGTATATATATAGGAATAATCTTTCATAAAATTTACTAATTTATTATAATTTAGGGTATCCTCGTTTTCGATTGATGATTTAGATATTATAATATTTTGTTTTTAATTATCGATAAAAACAATAAAATCGTATCATAATATACTTGGCCAGTATCTGGAACTAAAATATCACCAAATTTATATATAGTTCGAATACTATCTACTTCACTTAAATTAATAGATTCTATTACCATTATGATATAATTATATCATATTTTTTATTTTATAAGTATTTATAATATTATTTTATTATGCCTGATGTAAAACCAATTGATGAAATCAAATATGACTTTAAGCAAAGCAAGCACGAGGTCGTCCCTAAATTGCCGATGAGAGCTATGATTGTAGGGCCGTCAGGCTCGGGAAAGAGCACCCTACTTGTATCAATGATACTTGATATTTATAGAGGAGCATATGAAAGAATTTTTATCTGGTCCCCATCAGTAAATTTGGATAGTATTTGGTTGCCTGTTAAAAAATACATTAAAGAAGGTTTGAAAGTAGATACTGATAAAGAACCGTGTTGGTGGGATGAGTTCAATGTTGAAGATTTAGAAAGAGTTATAGAAACTCAAAATAAAATAATTGAATACCAGAAAAAACAAGGAACGAAGAAATTATTTAATATATTGGTAATTTTGGATGATGTATCTGATAATCCAGCAATAACAAGAAATAACAAATTGTTAAATTCTTTATTCTGTAGGGGACGTCATAGTGGAATATCAACGCTTGTCAGTCTTCAAAAATCATCAACCGTGCCACCAATTATTAGAGTAAATATAAGTCATTTGTTTTATTATAAAGTTAGAAACTACAAAGAGATAGAAATATTACAAGATGAATTATCAGCAATTGTTAGAAGCGATAATTTACACGAAAGCAAGAAATTAATTTATAAAATATATGAAACTGCCACTGATGAACCGCATAGTTTTTTATATATTAACCTTTTAGAAAAGAACCCTGACCGTATCTTTATGAAAAACTTTTCACAATATTTGAAAATATCTGATAAATGATGTTTAAAGAATAAATCTTATATAATCTTATACAATGCCAAAAAAGGTAATGGACTATTCTAATACTTATTTTTATAAAATTGTTTGTAAAAATTTAAGTATCAAAGACTGTTATGTTGGACATACTACAAATTTTGTTAAACGAAAATGTGCTCATAAAAATAATATTGAGAAAGAAAACGGTAAAAACTACAATCAATATGTATATCGATTTATTCGTGAAAATGGAGGATGGATTAATTTTGAAATGGTTTTAATATC